TTTTACAACATTTTGCAACCAAATTTTGCAACTTTACTAATTTCAATATGTTCTTTTTAACTGTTGTGTTTGATTCCCTTCTCTTTATTTACATTAAAATTTAGTCTAACATGCAAGTTGTCCATTAGGCTGTTTTGATTTTTAATATATATTTTCAAAACAAACAAAACGGGAATAAATTTGTGAAGAAAACCTTGAGAAAATCAAGTCAGTTGAAACTTTGAAGACAAAGAGGCAAAGAATACCTTAAATAATGAAAGAGCTACTGGAACTTGTTTTGTTGTATAGTATAACTTAATTTTAAAACCTGCACTGAAATTCCTGAATATAAACACAGTACTTCTCTACCTGGTTAATATAATATTTTTATAATCAATGAATATTTATTGCTTCAATTTTATAAAGTAAATGGCCCCAGACTACAGTTTCTCCTAAGTCGGCCAGTACTGTATTAATTAACCCATTGAGCCGCAATGCGTCCCAGTGTGCCTTACTTATTTTTTCTACCTGTCTAACGCCAGGCAATTTTACTCCTCAAGGGGGAAGTAGACTACAACATAGTCTGTGTGTAATGTGATAAGTGCTAAACACAAAGGGGGAAGCTCTGCAGCTTAATGGGTTAACTAAAAAATCTGACAATTTAATGTCTCCAGTTGAATCCATTCAGCCGCAATGTGCATGCCCTTACTTCACAAACATAGGTCCTAAGCTTGCTCAAACGATCGAGCATGACAGCGATAGTAACTTTGGGGACTTTATTACCAAACAAGAACCAGCTAGTATAAATTTTCTTTTGAGGCTGTAAATGAATTTACGGTTTACAGGCTTATCACAAAATTACCTACTTGGAAAGCTACAGGTGTTGACAAAATTTCTAAAATAGTTCTTCAAGTTGCAGCTCCTGCTGTTGTACAACCATTGACAAAACATTTCAACTAATCAATTGTCTTGGGCCAGTTTCCGTCAGAATGGAAAGCAGCACGAGTAATCCCAGTATTCAAAAAGGGTCAGCGAACCATGCTTGATAATTACTGATTTGCCAATTTCAATATTACCAGTTGTTAGCAAACTGATATAACGGATTTTATATAATCAAATATCTGAGTATTTAGAAAAGGAAAGTATTCTATCCGAATATCAGTTTGGTTTTAGGTCTTGCCATTCAACAACTACTACTTTAATAGATTGTACAAATGAATGATATGTCAATATGGACCGCGGACACTATAATTTAGTTGTTTTTCTTGATATAAAGAAAGCATTTGATACCATAAACCATGATATCCTTTTAAAGAAACTTGAAATGTACGGTCTTGGAGAATCGGCGCTTGCGCTACTGCGTAATTATTTGACAAACCGAACTCAAAAATGCAATCTCCAAGGTACAGTATGCTTTCGAATTAATAAAGATATAAATATAGATATTATAATAGAATTCCGGCGAATCACTACACTGAGCGTCAGTATATATGAATGAACATGTATATATACTTCATATATTCTTACAACTGAAGAGTTATACTTTAGTCTTGAAGAACGACGAATGAACATATATATTTGAGATATAATTCCGGCGAGTCCCTACTGTCAGTACTGAGCATCAGTACGAATGAACATGTAGATATCTCATATATTCATACAACTAAATAGTTAGTTTAGTCTTGAAGAACGAGGAATGAACATATAATATATATTTTAAAAGATGAATGAACATAGGCTAAATCAGTTATAATGACAATTACGGTGTAACATTTTGCCTAGTGATTTAATATAATTCCGGCGAGTCCCTATACTCATCGTCAGTATGGCCGGCCTATATTTATATGTGTATAAGCGTGTCTTTTAAAGAACGTGTCAAACTCATGAAATACATATTGATTTATATTTATGAGTGTACATAGTGTGCATTTTAAATCACTGCGCATTTATATGTGCGCATGCATGTGAGCGTGTCTTTTAGTGTCTTTTAAAGAACGAGGCAAACTCATGAAATACTCATAAGATTTATATTTATAAGTGTCTGGTGTGCATTTTAAATAACTGCGCATTTGTGTGTGTGAGCGTGTTTTTTAAAGAACGAGGCAAACTCATGAAATACATAACATTTATATTTATGAGTGTATAGTATGCATTTTAAATCACTGCACATTTATGTATGTGTGTCTTTAAAGAACGAGGCAAACTCATGAAATACATAATTTATATTTATAAGTGTGTAGTGTGCATTTTAAATAACTGCGCATTTATATGTGTGCGAGCGTGTCTTTAAAGAACGAGGCATGCAAACTCATGAAATATAACATAACATTTATATTTATAAGTGTGTAGTGTGCATTTTAAATAACTGCGCATTTATAAGACATGAACGAGAACGAGACATGAACATGTATATATTTCAGATATTCATACAACTGATGAGTTACTTTTGTCTTGAAGAGGATGAATAAACATACATATTTGAGATGAAGATTCATAATTTATAATGTAACTTGCGGCGTGAAATTTCACTAGTTTAACGAGTCGTACTTCGTGGTCTTACAACTAATGCCTAAAGTACAAGTCGTGAATCACGACTTTCGATTTTCACGAGTTGTTGAATGCGACAAGTCGTGAAATTTCACGAATTTAACGAGTCGTACGAATATCGTGAAGGTCTTACTAATAGCTAAACCACGACTCGTGAATCACGACTTTCGAATTTCACGAGTCGAATTTAACGAGTCGTACGAATATCGTGAAGGTCTTAGCCTACTAATGGCTAAACCACGACTCGTGAATCACGACTTTCGAATTTCACGAGTCGTTGAATGCGACAGTATATATTGGACATGTTTAATGTTTGCAGATGATACCAGCCTAACACTAACAGCTGCGGGAGAAACATTGGGTGAAGTAGAGAAGAGGGCAAACGGAGACCTGGAGAATGTCCGAAATTGGCTATCTGCAAATAAACTTTAATTTAAATATTGCTAAAACTGAGAACGTTCTGATTGGATCACGATATAGGATAAATAGTTTGGATGTTCAACCATCAGTCAATATTGGTAAACAATCCGTCGAAAGAGTGAAACATACCAAAGTGCTCGGAGTCCAAATTGACGAGCATTTAAACTGGAGAAAGCATATTGAATCCATCGATATAGTAAAATATCAGGAATTGGCGCTATAAAAAAAGCTAAGGAATTTGTTGACCGGAATACTTTGGTTTTGATATATAATGCTCTAATCCAGCTAGCCGCACCTCGATTACTGTTGCGAAGTTTGGGACGTATTAGTGGTAAAACGCTAGTGATCGTCTTCAAAAACTGCAAAATAGGGCGGCTAGAACAATCCTTATTGGCTCGCAATTCACTTGGTTGGATAACCCTTGAAGAACGCAGAGCACAAATGAATGCCAGACTTATGGACAAATCGATCAATAAATTAGCTCCCCAAAGACTGAGTAACTTTTTTCAAAATTCAAATACAGTGTATGATTATGATTTGAGAGGGTCTTCAACTAGGCTTTGCTTTCACAGAATATCTAAAGTTACAAGTTTCAGTTACAATGGGGCTCATGTAATAAGAAATTGGGCATCTTATAATTCGTTTTGTCAAGTTTCAGTTACAATGGGGCTCATGTAATAAGAAATTGGGCATCTTATAATTCGTTTTGTGAAAAGCTTTCTTCCTCGACCTTTTCATTTAGCAATCATGTTTAAATTATAGTAGTAATTTTCTTAGATTTCTTTACTAATTTATAATACTATTAGCTAACAAATTCATAATCCCCGAGCCAACGGCGCTCCGCGCCGTTCTGGGCGTTAGCCCGGGGCGAGGGTACTAATTCCGCCCGGCTATTTACAGCCGGGGAAAGGGAAGCATTAGCGAAGTCTAAAGTTCATCAGTGATTGCGTCACCAACCGTGGGTGAGTCTTCCTCACTGATCTCAAAAATATGGCTGTTTGCCAGGAGTGGGATAAACAAGATTTCAATTTTCAAAAGCATATATTTAGAAAACCACGTTTCACACCGCTTTGAAGTGTTTAAAGAAACGAGAAGAATTGATTTGCTGTGGAAAATCATGGAATATAGGGCAAGTTTGCTTTGATTGTTTAATGTTTATGAATTTTGTTGCTTTAGGGAGCGGTCATTATTTATGGCGGGGGGTGGCACCGAAGGGAAAAAGGTTGGGTAATCAAAATTTTGAGTAACTAAAAGGTTGGGTAAATGAAAAACAAAACCACTCAAGGGTTGGGTAATAAAAATTTATTGTCATTTCCAAAGCATGACCCACTGAAATATTGGAGACTGAAAAGCAATGTCAACAGTCATTTGTCAATACAATACGTGAATCAATCAGAGTCACTATCTTGGTCATTTTGACAAAACAAATGGTGTTTCCAAAGAAAGTGAATGTGCAGGCAACATGAAACTTTAGACTGCAGAAAAGTTCACAAGCCGTTATCAAACTCATGTCATAGATTAATTATTTTTCAATTTATATTTGAGGTTGGGTAATCAATTTTTTGTCTTTTTAATGGTTGGGTCAGCAAAATTTTTGCCACGAAAAACATTTCTCTTCGGTGCCACCCTCCACCATAAATAATGACTGTCGTGAATTAAGCAGTCCAGTTAATGTAAATAGTCCAGTTGACATTACGTAATTAGACATGTAGATTGCATCAGCTACGAACACGAACAGATATTGAGATGTCTAACACGAACACGTTTAGATAGTACGAACACATGTAGTTTCCTCAACCTTTTTAGCTTTAAATATATAACCATAAAACGAAGACAGTTTCTCTTAATTACTCGATCGAACCTCGCTATTCTCTACATTGGTGCCGTGACCAGGATGGAGGAACTCACAAGAATACAAGCATCGAGACGAGCTCACAAAGCACATGTGACAAGATTAGTAAAGAAAACCAGCGAAATTTTAACGAACGAAAAGCCCGACGAAATGTTACTAAGCAGTTTAAATACATCTCTCGAACAAGTAGTAAGGAAAAGGGATTTGATACGGGAATTAGACCAGAAAATCGAAGCGAAAACTACAGACGAAAAGAACTTAGAAACGGAGATATTCGAAGCCGAAGAACTGAGCTGTGACCTGGAAGAAAAGATCAACCACATTCGTAAGTACATTGACTTATCTATTAGCGCTTTGAACAATCCATCTACTGTATCTACACAAGAAAATACTGGCTCAAGTTTGCCATCTGTTTCACAAAATACAAATACAGAACCGTCATCTGCAGCAGCCGATGTACAGTCTCATGATCAATCAACCCCAGACCATCCACCATTACAAACTAACCCTTTGAATACTAGCACCTCTTCGGAAGAGACTCCCACAACTCAACTTCCATCTTCAAATACAGTACCCAATATGTCTCAAACAACATGTAAACTCCCAAAGCTGAATCTTCCTGTATTTTCTGGGAACCCCCTAGACTGGCAGTCATTTTGGGACTCCTTTGAAGCAGCAGTCCATAGAAACCCCTCATTAAATGGAATTCAAAAGTTCAACTATTTGAAAGCGCAACTCAAGAACGAAGCACTGCATTCAATTATGGGTTTTCAACTTACGAACAGTAACTACGAGCAAGCAGTCACCCTCCTTAAGGACAGATTCGGACAAACCCATAAAGTTATTAATGCACATATGCAAGCATTCCTAGATATCAGGAGTCCTAACGGACAGTTGGAAGACCTTCAGAAATTTTACGATACATTAGAAACACACATTCGTGGTCTCCCATCACTTGGAAAAGCACATGAATCATACGGTGATCTCTTGATACCCATAATCCTTGGCAAGCTCCCAAACGATGTACGAAAGAACTTAGCACGTGAACACGAAACCCTAGATTGGACCATCGACCAACTTCGAAACGCCTTACAGAAAGAACTAAGAATTCTAGAGGCAGGGAAATTTGTCAACCCAACATTAATTGAAAGTAAGGACACTAAATCATCTATTGCATCATCCTTCTACACTGGTATCCCTAACGATCCCTCATCATCCCATTACCCAAATCCCAGAGCAAAGGCCCCACCACCATGTGTCTACTGTAAGAAGGCGCACTCATCTAAACATTGCCAAACAGTTACAGATTACCAAAAACGATTAGAAACAGTCAAGAAAGAAAATCTTTGTTTCAATTGCCTTGGACACCATAAAGCTTCTAAATGCCGATCGAAGAACCGCTGCACGAATTGCAATCGCAAACACCACACCAGTCTCTGCAATAAGGAAAATGAACCGTCGACATCCAAGGAGCAAACCACCCACAATGAAGATACTCAAACCCCAGAAGTCACACATGCAACATTAACACCTACAGCACAGATGAGCTACATGGGTCCCAGTCCCCATCAAACCTCATTACTCAAAACAGCCATTGCGACAATTAGATCAGACAGCACTGCTATCGAAACTAACATTCTCTTTGATGAGGGTGCCCAACGTAGTTTTATATCACAGTCTCTTGCATCAAAATTAGGACTACAGACTTCAACTAAAGAAACCATCAACCTCGCCACGTTTGGTGCAGTTACCCCGACCAGAAGAAACCTAGATGTTGTTACAATACACATTGAAACTGAATCATCAGGAAATATTCCAATACAAGCCCTCATTGTTCCAGAAATCGCCACTCCATTGCAGAATTCAGTCAGAACTGCTACTCAGAACTACCCCTACCTACAGGGCCTCAAACTTGCACATCCAGTGACCGACAATGAGAACTTTGAAATATCATTACTAATTGACCATTTGCGTAATAGACTAAATTTTGATCTCAACAAAAATTTCATTACAGCTTGAAAGAGCATCACAAAATTAGTAATATTCCAAAGTTTCGTTGCAAAATGTTGTAAAATGCGAAAAATATAGCCTTGCGAAATTTGCAATTTTCAGTCATTTTAGATTACAAACCGGAAATTGACAGCCTCGAAGGGTTTGGGGCTGTCAATTTCCCGTTTGTAATCTAAAATGACTGAAAATTGCAAATTTCGCAAGGCTATATTTTCCGCATTTTACAACATTTTGAAACGAAACTTTGGAATATTACTAATTTTGTGATGCTCCTTCAAGCTGTGATGAAATTTTTGTCTAGACTTGTTTAGTTCAAAATTTAGTCTATTACGCAAATGGTCAATTGGTGCTGATCATTATTGGGACATTGTTGAGGATCACATCATTCGAGGCAACGGTCCAACAGCCATGCAATCCAAGCTAGGCTACCTGTTATCCGGACCTGTAGCATCCACAGCCAGTACCAGGAACTATCCAACCAATATGCTGAATGTTATGCTTTCCCATCGTGAAGAAGATGATCGTATCGAACGGTTCTGGAATTTAGAAACTTTGGGTATTACCGAACCAGATCCACACATTGAAGAAAACAGCTTTATCCATGAGTATCAACAAACATCCATTTCTCGTGAACGGGACGGAAGTTACACAGCAAGATTTCCTTGGAAGAAGGATCATCCCCCACTACCTTCGAACAACATCGTCTGCGAAAAACGCACTAGGGCTACAATCAAGAGATTGAACCAAACACCCGATTTGCTACGCACTTATGGCTCTATCATCAAAGAACAAGAACAAAGGGGCTTCATCGAGAGAATTCCCAATACAGCAAATAACCACAACGTCCATTACGTACCCCACCACCCAGTTAAGAAAGATTCACCAACCACTCCTATTCGGATCGTTTACGACTGCAGCTGCAAAGCATCCCCGAAACTTGCAAGCCTTAATGATTGCCTTCAACCCGGTCCACCACTTCTCAACGATATGTCAGCAATCCTCCTTCGATTTCGTACCCACAGCTATGGTATCGTTACTGATATAGAGAAAGCATTCCTTCACCTTAACTTACATGAGGACGATAGAGACTTCACTCGATTCCTATGGTTATCGGATCCAGCAGATCCAAACAGTTCCTTTGACACCTATCGTTTTAAGGCTGTTCCTTTTGGGACCACAAGCTCTCCGTTCATGCTAAATGCAACAGTTCAACATCACTTAGAAAATTTCAACTCACCTGTTTCCCTCGATATGAAAAGAAACATGTACGTTGACAACGTGATCTCTGGTACTGACACTGAAACATCTGCAATCAACTACTACAATGAAGCAAGATTTATTATGAACGATGCCAAATTCAACCTGCGCTCTTGGGCTTCAAATTGTTCTGATTTACAAGATTTAACGATTCAAGAAAACACAGCCGATACAGGTGATGAAATTAACGTTCTCGGTATGCATTGGAAAACCTCTTCTGATACCCTCACATTAACCAACAAAGCCACCTTGAACACTCGTCAACAACTGATCACCAAACGCGAAGTTCTCCAACAGTCTTCAAAGATATTTGATCCCTTGGGCATAATAACACCGATAACCATTCGTGCGAAAATCTTCATGCAACAGCTTTGGCAAGAATCCATTGATTGGGATGAACCATTAAATGAAACTTTGACAGAAAACTGGCAGAAAATAGTCGATGATTTACAAGCAGCGCTCATGACCACCACCATCCCTCGACGATACCACCTGAATTCAAACTCCAAAACCGTAGCTCAATTGCACTGTTTCGTTGATTCTAGTATCAAGGCATACGGAGCTGTCACATACCTTAAGCACGGACACGAGATTTCATTTGTTATGGCTAAAACTCGCGTCGCCCCGATTAAGAAGTTAACACTACCTCAACTCGAGCTGATGGCAGCATTAATTGGCACTAGATTACTCTCCTTCATACACAACGCAATGAACAGCCGATACGATACGCTAGAAGTTTATCTTTGGTCTGACAGCCAGATCGTTTTATATTGGATCAACAGCAACAAGCAGCTTAAACAGTTCGTCGCCAATCGCGTTAACTCGATTAAAGAGCTCTTTCCTCCCAGCACTTGGCATTATTGTCCTACACATGAAAACCCCGCAGATATTCTTACTCGTGGTTTGACTACTCACCAAATGCAATCCTCATCGCTATGGCAAAACGGTCCAGCTTGGCTTACGTTATCCCAAGAACATTGGCCTCCTTGGTCAACAGCAGCAACCTTTCTAACCCAAGCCATTCAAACACCCGAAACGGTTGAGATCAGTCCATCGCCAATCCACCCAACAATCAATATATGCAACGAATACGGCATCCATTGCATTATTGACATAGCACAATCCAACTGTTTAGATCGGTTAATACGAGTTACATCTTACGTGTTAAGGTTTATCGGACAGTTAAGAAAGCGAACATCCTTTAAAGAAGCTCAGCTCACAGTTGAAGAAACCACCACAGCCGAAACATTATGGATACAGAGTTGTCAACAGTCCACTTATCAATCAGAACTAGACAATCTCATTTCAAAGAACAAACCTCGTATCACTTTAGTCAAGCAACTTCGATTATTTATAGACAATCAGTGTCTCATCCGATGTCGAGGCAGGATTCACAATGCTCCAGTGAGCGAGTCAACCAAGTTCCCAATCCTGCTCCCTACCAACCACCCATTTACTAAACTAGTCGTTTTATCTATCCACCATCAACAGCTTCACTCAGGCGTTAATTCAACACTCACAGCAGTACGACAAAGATTCTGGATCCCACGAGCAAGGCAACTCATACGAAAAATCCTACGAAAGTGCGTCATATGTCGGAAACAAGGCGGGCGTAGACTTTACCGGTGCACTTTATGTGAAGACATCATCGATAGAAAACAAAGTCTATGTGTGCCTATTCACCTGCGCCAATACACGAGCAATACATTTAGAAGTTGTCGAAGATTTAAGCGAAGGAACCTTCCTTAAAGCATTTCGAAGATTCGTCAGCCGTAGATCGCTACCTCGAAAGATGGTATCAGACAATGCAACTACATATTTGTCGGCCGCAGAGGAGTTAAAGCGTCTCCTAGACTCCATATCTCTGAAAGAAACATTGAGTCGTCGCGGTTGTGATTGGATCTTCATTCCTAAACGTGCCCCGTGGTACGGAGGTTTCTGGGAAAGGCTCATCGGATTAACTAAGAATGCGCTTAAAGTGCCTATATTACTTGTGGGATCTTTACGGATTTGAAAAGAGCGCAAAAAGTTATTTAACAAGTTCTTCAACCTTTTTTT